CTAACTAGCTATATTGCAGCTATATCTAACTAGCTATATTGCAGCTATATCTAACTAGCTACATTACAGCTATATCTAACAGGCTATATTACAGCTATATCTAACTAGCTATATTACAGCTATATCTAACTAGCTACATTGCAGCTATATCTAACTAGCTACATTGCAGCTATATCTAACTAGCTATATTACAGCTGTATCTAACTAGCTATATTGCAGCTATATCTAACTAGCTATATTGCAGCTATATCTAACAAGCTATATTGCAGCTATATCTAACTAGCTATATTGCAGCTATATCTAACTAGCTATATTGCAGCTATATCTAACTAGCTATATTGCAGCTATATCTAACAAGCTATATTGCAGCTATATCTAACTAGCTATATTACAGCTATATCTAACTAGCTATATTGCAGCTATATCTAACTAGTTATATTACAGCTATATCTAACTAGCTATATTGCAGCTATATCTAACTGGCTATATTACAGCTATATCTAACTAGCTATATTGCAGCTATATTTAACTAGCTATATTGCAGCTATATCTAACTAGCTATATTGCAGCTATATCTAACTAGCTATATTGCAGCTATATCTAACTAGCTACATTGCAGCTATATCTAACTAGCTATATTACAGCTATATCTAACTAGCTATATTGCAGCTATATCTAACTAGCTATATTGCAGCTATATCTAACTAGCTATATTGCAGCTATATCTAACTAGCTATATTACAGCTATATCTAACTAGCTATATTGCAGCTATATCTAACTAGCTATATTGCAGCTATATCTAACTAGCTATATTGCAGCTATATCTAACTAGCTATATTACAGCTATATCTAACTAGCTATATTACAGCTATATCTAACTAGCTATATTGCAGCTATATCTAACTAGCTATATTGCAGCTATATCTAACAAGCTATATTGCAGCTATATCTAACTAGCTACATTACAGCTATATCTAACAAGCTATATTACAGCTATATCTAACTAGCTATATTACAGCTATATCTAACTAGCTACATTGCAGCTATATCTAACTAGCTATATAACAGCTATATCAAACTAGCTATATTGCAGCTATATCTAACTAGCTATATTACAGCTATATCTAACTAGCTATATTGCAGCTATATCTAACTAGCTATATTGCAGCTATATCTAACTAGCTATATTGCAGCTATATCTAACTAGTTATATTACAGCTATATCTAACTAGCTATATTGCAGCTATATCTAACTAGCTATATTGCAGCTGTATCTAACTAGCTATATTACAGCTGTATCTAACTAGCTATATTGCAGCTATATCTAACTAGCTATATTGCAGCTATATCTAACAAGCTATATTGCAGCTATATCTAACTAGCTATATTGCAGCTATATCTAACTAGCTATATTGCAGCTATATCTAACTAGCTATATTGCAGCTATATCTAACAAGCTATATTACAGCTATATCTAACTAGCTATATTGCAGCTATATCTAACTAGCTATATTGCAGCTATATCTAACTAGCTATATTGCAGCTATATCTAACTAGCTATATTACAGCTGTATCTAACTAGCTATATTGCAGCTATATCTAACTAGCTATATTACAGCTATATCTAACAAGCTATATTACAGCTATATCTAACTAGCTATATTACAGCTATATCTAACTAGCTATATTGCAGCTTTATCTAACTAGCTATATTGCAGCTATATCTAACAAGCTATATTGCAGCTATATCTAACTAGCTATATTACAGCTATATCTAACAAGCTATATTACAGCTATATCTAACTAGCTATATTACAGCTATATCTAACTAGCTATATTGCAGCTATATCTAACTAGCTATATTGCATCTATATCTAACTAGCTATATTACAGCTATATCTAACTAGCTATATTGCAGCTATATCTAACTAGCTACATTGCAGCTATATCTAACAAGCTATATTGCAGCTATATCTAACTAGCTATATTGCAGCTATATCTAACTAGCTATATTACAGCTATATCTTACCAGGCTCATTCTTCTGTCTGTCCACAGTGATCTCAGAATTACAATGTATCTGTTATTTCAGAAATAAAATTAGAATTGCATGTTATTTACAAGTGTTGAAATTCCCATTAAAACCATGAACTTAGAACACTAAGCTAGAACTAAATATGTATCTATCAGTTTGATTATAGTTCACCTTCTGTTTGACCAATCGTACCCTAGACATTCGTTGTTTTTTTATTAGCTTTTATTTTTACTACAATAAGGGTCTATCGACGGCCCTCTTGAACACTCATCCAAATAACCATATATGACCTAACCTGATGACATCTGCTTTGAAGGTCCTTATGTGATAGAGCATATTTCTCGATCATTGACGTCATCCAACTCTTAGTTTTTAACTTGTACTGGAATTGCAGGAATCACAGACGTCTGACTGAAAATTGGGATGTGCAAATACACGCGCAATTTTTTTTAGAAAACCTCTTTACAATCTTGTTTCTGTTTCATATTTTTATATTACAGAATGTCAGTTAGAAGATTATTTGCTGCTGTAAAGAACGGTGATCTATTGACTGTAAATAGTTTAATAAAGAGTGGTTCGTTTGATATTAACGAACAGGACAGAAGAGGTTATACACCCTTTCATAGAGCTGTACGGAAGAATCGTTTAGATATTGTAAGGTTGATACTTGACCAACCTGAATGTAATGTCAATTTGCAAAACAAAAGAGGTGATACTCCCTTACATACAGCTGTAAAGGAGAGAAATATAGATATTGTAAGGTGTTTGGTTAATCGGTCAGATTGTGATGTCAATTTGCAGGACGATGGAGGTGGAATACCCTTACATATAGCTGTGGAGTGTGGTAATGTAGACCTTGTACAGTGTTTAATACAGTGTAGTAACTGTAATGTTAACTTACAGGACAGTAGAGGTGAAATACCCTTATACAGGGCCGTGAGGTGGTGCAATGCAGACATTGTAAAGTGTTTAATACAATATAGTAACTGTAATGTTAACTTACAGGACATTCAAGGTGAAACACCCTTACATAGAGCTGTAAAGGAGAGAAATATAGAAATTGTAATGTGTTTGATACATTGTAGTACCTGTAATGTTAACATACAGGACTGTAGAGGCGAAACACCCTTACATACAGCTGTATGGAAAAATTGTTTTGAAATTGTAAGGTGTTTTTTTGAACTGGACCAAATGTGATGTCAATTTGCAAAACAAAAGAGGTGATATACCCCTACATCTAGCTATAAATAATAATGACTTAGACATTGTAAAGTGTTTAATACAGTGTAGTAACTGTGATATTTATATTAAAGATAAGAAGGGGTATTCACCATTCTCCACTACGGAAGGATTACAATTTCTTTATAAAATTGCACGACGTCAGGATCTAGAATTAGCTCAAGTTTTATTCCAAAATAATGTTGATGTTTTAACTAATCATGTCGATAATCAGCTTCAATTAGTTAAATTAATTCTGAGTGAAAATGATTTTCAATCTCTATGGTTTTTTATTCAGAATGGTCTCTATATCAATTCTTTAACATCATCAGGTGAAAATATAGTCCATCTATTAGCTCAATTTTATATGGATTATTTATATATAGATTTTAGTTTTTTGTTATATTATGAATTAGATTTTTATCTTATAAATAATGTTGGTAATTCACCGTTAATGGCGGCCTCACTTTTAAATAATTTACCCTTTATTCAATTTTTAGCCACTTTACCCTGCGACGTCAATAGACAAAACCATCAGGGCCATACAGCACTTCACCTATGTGTCATCGGATTTACTTTGATAAAAGAAAAATTAAATATGATGAAAGTCAATTCAGTAGTGAAAGAGTTATGTGCCCGTGAATACTATCCCATATATCTTGAATCTATTGATATTTTACTCAATCTTGGTGCAGACGTCAATATACAAGATAAAGGTGGGGAAACGGTTTTAATGTTGGCTTGTGTGAAAAATGATAGAAAATTGTTAGAAAAACTATTAAAACATGGAGCTGATGTGAATATTGTAGATAACCATGGTCGATCTGCTCTACAATACATAGATTTAACAAACAATGTTTATGATTTAACATGTTTTAATTTACTTCTATCCCATGGTTGTAGACAATCTTTTAATCAGCCATGTCTTAATGGTAACACTATTATTCAAAATGTACTCCAATTCTCACCACTATGGCAAATTGATCAAACTGTCAATTTTATCAAATTTCTTGTTTTTAAAAATGTCAACCTGCAACATTTAACCTCAGATGATGGAGAAATCTCCTATGGTCAGTTATCTCTGGAGGAATTTTCTTCACAATCTAGGCATGAATTAAGGCAAATCTTGTATTTAGGTGGTGGCTCATTTATACAAATTACACAAATATTACATTTTGAAGAAGAGGAAAATTATGAAGCATCATTGCCAAAAACTTTAAGAGAAAAACCGAGAGAAAAATTCTATCTTTTTGCCAACAATCTGAGTCTTAAAGATATTTGTAGAAGATTTATCAGACAAAATACAGGTCTAACAATTCATGACCGAATTTCAGAACTTCTCTATTTTCCAACCCTGACTGATTTTCTGATCTTTAAAGATTTTGATTCTAAAAGATTTTCACTGCCTATTCAGTTAGAGTCTTTTATTGATGATGATGCTGATGATGATTATGATTCCTATGATTTAAATAAGGAGAATGATGATTATGAGAATGATTATTTGGTGTATAAAGATTGTAAATATTTAAATGAGTTACATGCAGGTTTAAAAAAAATTGAGAAACGCAAGATGTATGAAAGCACCGATAATATTACAGACCTTAAATCAGATTTAGATTCAGATTTAAATTTAGAATCTATTTCATTGCAATAACAGATTTTAATACAGGTTTTTATACAACAGATCTAGTAGCCTCTCTAAAACGTATCCGTTTCTGATTCAGTAATTTATTTTAAGTTTCTATTATATTCTTGTATTTTTTTTGTCATTGCTATGAATATGTATAATAATAATATTAATAATAATAATAACTTTTTTGATCACCAATTTGTTAACCAAATCTAACTTGAAGTCAATGGAATATATATACATTATAAACATATTTACAAAAAGAGACAAGTTTTAGCAATAAGTGGTATAAAGTAAAAATGAAATATGATAAAGAGGCAGACCATTAGGTGAAATATATACATTTATACAAAGATGGTATTAAACAAGGACAATAGCAAAAAATAAACGTCCCTGTAATAATAATACAATACATATTGTAAGGGTTCATGTAATAATAATACAATACATATTGTAAGGGTTCATGTAATAATAATACAATACATATTGCAAGAGTTCATGTAATAATGATAAAATACATATTGCAAGAGTTCATGTAATAATAATACAATACATATTGCAAGAGTTCATGTAATAATAATACAATACATATTGCAAGAGTTCATGTAATAATAATACAATACATATTGCAAGAGTTCATGTAATAATAATACAATACATATTGTAAGAGTTCATGTAATAATAATACAATACATATTGCAAGAGTTCATGTAATAATAATACAATATATTGTAAGAGTTCATGTAATAATAATACAATATATTGTAAGAGTTCATGTAATAATAATACAATACATATTGCAAGAGTTCATGTAATAATAATAAAATACATATTGTAAGAGTTCATGTAATAATAATACAATATATATTGTAAGAGTTCATGTAATAATAATACAATACATATTGTAAGAGTTCATGTAATAATAATACAATACATATTGTAAGAGTTCATGTAATAATAATAAAATACATATTGCAAGGGTTCATGTAATAATAATACAATACATATTGTAAGAGTTCATGTAATAATAATACAATATATTGTAAGAGTTCATGTAATAATAATACAATACATATTGCAAGAGTTCATGTAATAATAATAAAATACATATTGCAAGAGTTCATGTAATAATAATACAATACATATTGTAAGAGTTCATGTAATAATAATACAATACATATTGTAAGAGTTCATGTAATAATAATACAATACATATTGCAAGAGTTCATGTAATAATAATACAATACATATTGTAAGGGTTCATGTAATAATGATAAATACATATTGTAAGGGTTCATGTAATAATAATACAATACATATTGTAAGAGTTCATGTAATAATAATAC